CCCCCCCACCTGCTACGATATTCGAAGATCCCGAGTGGAAGTAATGGTAATCCAGTACGAATCTCTTTTCGAATGTAACGCGAATCTCTACGGGAAATCGCCTAAGGACTTCCGAGGATTATGATACTAGAAACTTTTGTGTTGGTCCTGTAACGAGATGTCGCCTTCCTTCATCCATTATTTTCGGTCCCCCGTTTAACTTAATTATTATTTTCTTTAACGCTATCTCATTCAACGTCAATTGACAATACTGAACTTTCAGTCTATGCGGATTAATCGTACCGACTCGATAATAAGAATCTGTTCTTAAATTATTCAAATTGAAATTTTACTTATCTTTGCAAATATAATACTTTTGCAATTATAAAGATACGCGGACTCTTTTTCCATCCAACTGCTTGGCTCTAACACCCTTTCCGCGTGGAAGAAGTGTGTATAGGTATACCGCGAAAACTTCAAAGACGTAAATTTCAAAGTTCCTCTCGTTCCTTCTATTAACATTGTTTTTGTATAATAATAATAACGGCGATCCACAATTTTCGAAATATTTCAGTATCACGGATGTCTTTTCATCTGCCACGCACGTACGTAATGTACCTGCAACGCTTTAAGTGGATACAGGTATATACCAGCCAGACGGTAGTATTCGATATTCTGGTTTGCGAAGATGATCCTCCCCGGTTATGCCAGCCACGATGTAAAAACTTTAGTCACTTGCTATGCCGACCATAGGGATGCGCCAGTTACGTAATCGTCTCCGTCTCCGACTACCGTACGAGTTCGTAGTTAGCATTTAAATCTTGACTTGAAAGGAACGTTAACGGACCAGTCCGGGAGCTTATTAATAACCCTGCCAGAAGACTCGGAGTTTTACATGTAAAATGTAATTGACTGGCAGTGCCCGGTCGGTGGGAATAAGGTTTCTGGCGTATTTGGTGATCTCGCTGTGCTTTGACGTATCGGAGACATCATATTCGCACGGCAATCGAATATTTAATGTAAAATGTACACAAGTGACCTGACGCATTCAGAGATACGTGGATACTCGAAGGATTTATTATATGGTCGGATGAAAACAATTGCGCTATTTTATTAATTAATTTTCACGGCACAGTATATCTACGTAACCATGAAGAATAATGGTAAGCCTTCGTCGCAACGTTGTTACGTTTTATGCGTTATTTGCATTATTTCACCGCGACACTTTAATTATATCGTACTATAAATCAAGTCGCCCGAGCCAAGAATGCGATAGTGGAAAAAAGTTTTGGCTCGACTTTTACGCTTGCCGCTTCGTAACTTTGATTGATACTGTACGCCACGTAACGTCTATGCTTAAGTTGGACAAGTGTCGCCGCGACGCGTCCAATTGACCAAGGCGAATAAAAAGTTGAAAAGTTTTTCTCGGTGGGGAGCAGCTCTTTATTTTAATTTCGTTTTTCGTTCTTGTATTTTAATATTTTCCTTCCTCGTTCCCCGAGTACAAAACGCGCTTGAACTTTACTAATCGAGTCTCTTGTCCCGAAGCCCCGTGAAGGGACTCGAGATCGTAAATGAGAGTCGACCCTCTGAAAAATGAGATTCGCTACGGTGAAACTTAAAAAAAACTTTCTTCTCGGCCTGTCCAAACTTTCAGGATACCTCCGTCGACGTAGCCTTTCACGCATTTAAATAGGATGACGTTAAAAGAAAGTTTTAACAAACTTTAATTTATCCACTTGGCTGCCGTCGCGGAGTCTCTCGTCTTTCGTTTCGCCTTGGCGAATAATCTTTATTCCAAGACATGACACTCCTGCTCTTCCCCTGCGTACAAGAGTAACGCGATATTATCTTATACGAAGACCGAATAGTAGCCGGTGCCTTATTGAGGTGCTAATAAAGAACATAGGGATTTTGTACACGGACAAAATTAATATCGAATCCAATTCACTGTCGGACGTAAACGCGCGCGATTCCCCTCGACGCGATCCAAGTCTGGCTTAATCCTGTCGAAACTGAGACACCCGTTAGGGTCCGCGTAATTGGATAGGACGTGGTACGGCTTACCCGTGATAGTGGCGAAGACAAGGAGCGATAGTGAAAATGGGCGCACATTTCGAAATCTCGCGGTACTTTTCATGATGTGCGGTACGCTAAAACAACACGTTGTCTTAATCACAGAATCATATCAGCACTTTGTCGGTCCATACGACAGGTAGCCCATTGACGGGTGCAGTGCACAAACACTTTTTAAAATTTTTATTTGTATGTTTTTTATTAACACAGTGTACGCAATAATCCTTGGTGTCAATAGCGTGTGTGCAATTAAAAACAAAAAATTCTTACGAACGTGGTCGAGCGCGCGCGCGCGTCCGGTAGCTTTTACCCGATTCAATGAAAATTTTTTGCTCAGTCCACCCGATACTCCTCGGGCTTTCCGAAACTAAGTTTCTCTCGACGTTCGAGCCGCTACTGAGCTCCCGCCGCAAGCACGACGAGTTTGCGCTGCGTCGACTCCGCAAGCTCGGCCATTTTACCGTCGCGAGATACACTCTGATACGTGCGCGAGCTTCGCGTCAACCAAAGTGATTGATTGGTCCAGAAACTTTGCGACTGATTGAATCTTTTTTTTATGTGTCAATATCGATATCCACCATTCTGGATGTAGTTCACTGTGCGAAGTGTGTAAGTGTACTTTGTTTTCAGGATATTTGGTAGTCGGTACTCGCTGGTAGTGGCTATTCAAATGGGATGGAAATATATACATACATACATATATACTGTGACGTGATTTTTCGACTCACGGTCACGTGGCGATTCCACCTACCGGTTTAGATAACGTTATCCCTTTCTGGTTCCCTTCGAGTCGCCACCTTCGTCAGAAGCTACCCTCTTGGGTTCATTCGTACAGTTACGCCAATGCTCTCGGAAAGATTTTTTATTGTTTGGTTTAGGTGCTGGAATCTGCCGCTGAGAGGCAGTCTCGACGTATCGAGTTGCCCGGCAGAGGAGAGGACCCGACGGAGACGTCTCCGCGAACCGGAAGAGGTCCGGGTGAGATACCGGCGCCCCGTTGGAGGGTGCCGAAGGGCTGTAGAGGGGCCAGAGGGACAGTATGGTACGGTTAAGGGCAGGCAGGAGCATCTGATCCGAGGTAAGGATGCCCAGCTGTCGCCCGATGCCCTGGGGAAGAGACCGTGGCGGATCTCCAAGAGGTCACGTACCGATTTGCTGGGGAACGCTGTAGTTTAAAGGGACGACTCGAGGGACAGGATAAGGGTTATCGGCTATATCGCGAACAATCGGAATGATTAGTTCGCGAATTTGACTATTGTCAGTCTGTCTCGGGACACCGATCGGGGTGCCTCGAGCTGCTTCGCGCTCCCGGGATATTTCTTGATGGTTTTTCTAACCGTGTTTCGTATACGGATTCCTATAGAAAGTTCTAGCTCGTGCAGTTCTCGCGTTGCTATCGCTATATCCAGAAAGTCTTATAGATTTTCTGCGTGTGCTTCTATGGTGTTCACCTGGGTGTCTCCTGGATGCACTTCTCGGCCTTCGCGAATCGGGTGAAGTACTATCAATTTATTAATCGGTGGAGGGATTTCGAGTTTACAGCTTCGACTCGGTCTGCTACGTTTTCGATCAACTGATCTCTCTCCGGGACTATTTACCTGACCCCTACTCCGATCCTCTCTACCTCAACCTAGCAGCTTGGGCGGCCGTGCATTTCCGCAACCGTTCGCTCCCTTTCGTGCATCCAATTGCGTTTGCTGATAGGTTCCGTCAGAGCTCATGTTTTGGTGGAGTTGAGGCTGTCCTACCTAAACTCCCAGGTCATGCCGGGTCGTCAATTTCTGGGGAAAAAAGAATTAGCTGACGCCCGCCTGGCATATGGATGCATCGACGAAGGGTGGACGGCCGAAGGTAACGTGGGTTAGTTCTCGGACTTTCGTTATCGGTGTCGAGATAAGAAAATACGTTACGATATATATGTAGGTATAGGAGAGCTTTTGTTCTAGAGGCCGCGAAGCATATACTGAAACACCATGTACCCTTGGGACTGCTTTCTCTCGCGCTTTTAAATAACCCTTGACTATGGTCGAAGGAAGTTGCCAATAAAATATACAGTGTGTCTGGATTACACGTGACATTAATTAAAACCCCAGGGGATGAATCTGGGGCTAATTACGTAGTAGCCAAAACTCCCGGCATCTGGCTGGAACTTTCGTTGATGAAGTCAGCAGTCTGTCAGGTACATTTTTTTTTCGAAATTTTCTCTTCTTCGCTAACTTTTTTTTTCTCTCTCTCTCTATTTTGCTCTCGGTTAGGCTCTAAAGCTTTTCGAAAAGCTTACGTGGGAAATACATGTATATATACGGTTGTTGGTTGCTTCGCTTTCACGAAGCCTCCCGTCGCTCTTGCGTCGCTCGCACTTTCCGGTGGCTTCGTTAAGCGTCGCGACCTGACGTTCAGACGGGAAGTACGTGTTATAGTAGAAAAAAGGAGTGTTGAACGGCTGCGAAATGGGTAGGAGAAAGGAGGAGAGGAATAAAAAAAAAATATAAATCTCGAAATTGTTCTTTATGATGGGAAACCCTCGTAGCACAGGAGACACGTTGAACCGCAATATTTCTGCACGGCAGGGTAGGAAAGAGTCTGGGAACTCGGAGAACTGATAATGCACCTTAGACAAAGGCTGTGCGCGTAAACTTCGTTGAATCCCCTTACCTTCAACTCCGACGACTTTTTACGCAAGAGTTGCCATCCGGAATTTTATAGTCGTTAGCTCCTCCGGGTGTCTGCGATTCCTTGAGACTGCGTCGAGACCATAAATATTCGCAAGTCAAATTTTCACCTAATTTTATAATTATTTCTACGTCATGCTCGGATCCTGTACCGTTCCATGATTTTCTCATTTGATCTATTTTTCTATATCTTTTTTTTCAAAATTTCTTTTATCCCTATCAGTGGACTCGCTATTATTCTTTCGACCAAGGGAAATGACAAATGGGACTGCTAATAGAAATTGTGCTCTCATTTTGAAAGATATGATAGCACATTTCCCACTGGCAGCTGAGACCCTTCCGGGCTTCCGTCTTCGTTCCTTAATCTTCATCAATGACTCCTTTGCGGACTTGCGAAACTAAGTGAAATTTACGCGAGGTAAACCAATTCCTCGAAATTCTCTAGGTTATCAAACGTCGATCAAACGATCCTCTCGAAGACGACGAACAGCACGGGCTAGAACACTCGCGACATGTTTGCGCAACGACTCAAGTCCTCGCATTGAAACGCGAGAGTCTCCTAACCTAACTTAACTGTCTAATTGAAATCAAAGCTCACAATTGGGAAGTTTCAACTGGTTTTGAGATACGGGACGCTTCGAACTTTTGCTAACTGCTACATCTCGCTGCGGGCTGACATTCTCGTGACTGCACTTCAAAAACTACATTTCTCGCGAGCACATACAGCTACGTATATGGATGGGCTCAGACGTCTAATGGAAATCAATAACTCATTAGATCAATAAGCAACTTCCTGTCGCGGATATAATTCCGGCAAGACTTAACTGCGGTATTAAGGATCGAGTGAAAAACGACAATTTACAAAGTACAAGAAAGAAACATTTAATATATTTACAATGTCAACAATATACATTAATCTTTTTTTTTTTTGGTTATAAAGTTACTCTTTTATTTCGTTTTTTTTTACTCTCTTTAATACAGAGAGGAACAAACTGCATTTTGGTTAGTGTTTAAAGTGAGGATCCTTAAATATTATTATCTCACAGTAAAAGAACTTCGGGTTGGACGCAATTTGACTATTCGCAATGACACTGAGATTTTGTGACTGGAGTAGAATGCATAGTTAGGATTGAATTTTATTCGAGGTTTATCGTTAAGGTGCCCATACATACTGTGACCTTAATCCACGTGCTTAGAACTCTAAGGCGCTGCAGCTGCAAGATCTTCATGCATCTCTATAGATACCATTCTTTATACCTTACGATCCCGAGCGTCATGCTGCACTACTTATTCGCAATGTGCTCGAAGACGATGCGAATGACTTAAAAAATATGGTAAAAAAAAAGATTGTACTTTAAAAACGCCAGTAACAAAAATTATATTTAAAAAATATCAATGGCACCGATCGATAATCGATATCTTTATCTAATTTAATATAAAGCTTCGTACGTACCGGATGTTACTAATTATTGGCGTTTAGTTATATTTTGACTATATTTTCATGCAATCGATCCTCCAACACATTCGTAATCCAGGCTGATTCTAGACTTTCCTTACTGATATTTCACAATAATCTTACATCCTGTTTCCATCCATCCATATAGGGGCACCTTCGAACGAGTACACGCAAATGGGTTCTGTTCTTTCTTGGACGACTTAGCTTAAAAAATGGATATTTTGATTTTACAAAATTGGCGACTTTCCATGGCGCTGCCATAAAAAGCAATACTCCCCTTGTAAATAGCAAAAGAGCAAACATACATGCTCAACAACATCAACGTTACAAAATAATGTAATGCTCGTTGCCATAGCTTTTAAATTTATTTTAAAAAAATAACACGACTTAAGTGACACTTTAGACATCCTTATAAACGATTTACGATGTAGTCCTTGACAATAATAATAATAAATTTTCGCTTCTTTCTTCGATATTCTCGTTATACCTAATATTAATATCATTAATATATTCTTATCGATTTGGCAATTTTCAAATCCCACTGGGTTATACGCTTTATCGCCTCAGGCTCACGCAATCTTTTTTGCCACGTCGAACGACATCGAAAAATAACCGTTTGCCAATATATATATATTTTCGTTCGAAAGAAAAAAGAAAAACTTTTCTTTCCCTCTTGCTCTTTAAAGGTAACATTTTCATATATGGTTTTTAATATTTCGTAATTCTAAACGTTAGTTGTGTAAATTTGTTAATAACGCCTCCTTCCCACCTACCGCCCCCCCCCCCTGCCC